TGAATCACTTACCCAATCTTTTTGTCCAGTGGCCCTAATAGAGATTGAAACCTCCCAGTCTCCATCTTTGTAGAGCTTGTGTTCCTTCAACCATTGAGGAATCGAAACTACTTCTTTACTAGAAACCTCTTTCCGATTTGAACCTTGCACTTCATTAAATGGAATGGCATTAAGGTGCAACATCCAATGGTTGTTTGCCAAGCGGGAAGGTCATAGCAGATGTATTTCCTTCATCCTTTGAATCTGCATCACTCCCTATGAAAGGGACGTCTGACAGAGTTTCAGCAGAGTCATATTCAGATCCACTCATGGGGGCTACGCCCTTCGGGGCCTCACTACTCATGGATCTACGAACGAATAGTACAATAGAAGGGGATAGGACGAGACTATCTGCTACTCTCAAACTGCTCTGCAGAGAAATATTATTCTGACATAAATAGTGTAAACATGATAAGCTTCAAAATAACTGTTGTGAAGACATCTTAGGTAGTCCAAACCTTGGCAGCTAACCTTGTCAGCTAGTGCCGTGCTATAATAATGATATATTAAAGTTTTTACATTTAATTGAGATATGCATATCATCCTCCACCCTCCATACAAGGAAACACCATTTAATGCCATATATTATATTCCTTACATCGTCCTAGCATTTAATATGACACATAATGTCTTCTTTATAGAGATATGCTATTTAATGAGATAGTTATTATGTTCCTTATATGGAGATACCATTTAATGTGATATACCTTTTCGAATAAAATTTGAAAATATACCTATTTTTTTAATAATTTGTATTTATATACATGTGTGGGGAAATTTGGTGAAAATATACCACCTCCGCACGTTGGAAACGTGGGTACGGGACGAAAGCATGGCGTGGCAGCGCGGGAACGTGGTGCCACATACTGGATGTGTGGGACCGGCTCAGTCGCGTAGGCCGAAGGTGTGGAACCGAGTCAGTCCCGCGCGGTGGCTGTGCGCGTGCGCTATGCACCGCGGGACCGGGCCAGCGCACCCTCGATCGCGCAGAATAGAGGCGCCGCTTCGGTCCCGCAGGCCCAAACTGCGGTACCGATTCAGTTCTGCGTAACAGTTCTATGTGACCGAGGCCGGTGTCGTGCGCCCACTTTGCGGGATCGGGCTGATGATGATCGGTCCAGCCAACCACCGCATTGCCACAGACCCGTCCTGCGATACCACCATGGTGTACCGCATTTCCAGGATGCATGATCATTCCGACCCTCGGTCTCGCGCATCCGGCATGCGCTTAATCCTCGTTCTCGCATTCTCAGCAAGCGGGTTAGGTATATTTTTGCAAATTAATTCCACACAGGTATATAAACACAAATTATGGAAAAAAGGATATTTAAAAAAAATCATACCTTTTCTTCCTCATATGGATGTATGTACCTTCAAGCAATACATGGTTGATTTTCATAGTTTGATGCAACACATTTTCTAACAAATGCTAGTATTTAGAGAGAAGATATAATAGATGGATCACCAGTCACCATATATTTTTTTTTCATCCATAATTTTTCCTTGCTTGTATATATCAGTTAATACACTCAATGTTTAGCTTATACAGATGTCCAATATTATGCACTAAATAGCTTATTAGAAATAATTATGTTTAGACAAAATACATAAACAATATATGCCCATATATTATTTTATATTTATGCAGTGTTAAAATCTTATTGTATATTTATGTTGTGTATGGAACTAGTTGTAATACATCTTTAGAACCCAATAAATAGCTAGCCGCTAGGCATAACCTACAAAGCAATTTGTCCCAACAACTAGAGCGAAATTTAGCATAACTCATTATGCATGTCGAATACACTTACATTAGGAAGTGTCCATGCCGTACATTTATTTCGTTATATTTTTCTGACCTTCTTTTTTTCTTGTTTTGAATGTACCTCTTGGAGAAAGGATAGCATGAATAATCTATAGCAAGCTTCTAATGCTTTTTTTAGCCCTGTAGCACACGCGTGGTACCTAGCGATGTGTTGCCCAACGGAATAATTCTTGAATAAATGAACACTAGAGGCAATAGCAAAAACCAAAAAGTGAGACAACTGGCTTTTCTTATCTTTTTTCAAGAGGAGTAACTGACTTTTCTAAGATGGAACAAATAAAAGGTTTGCCCCCACCAAGCCTGGTCCACCTCATCACCCAGCTGGACGATGGCTACCGCAAGGCCCATAATGAGCCCATCCACAACAGAGACATCCATTTATATAGGCCTTGTAAATGGCACCCCATTTAGTAATGTACAGCCACCTGAAAAGTCTCAAAAGAATTGCTGAATTTGTGGAGCTAAACAACCTTATGAGCCTCTGGTAAATAACTTAAAAAGAGCTAGGGACAGTAATTGCATGTATAGTAAATTTCCAGAAAGGACTACAAAATTGCCAAGCTGAAGGGATTCTATTCATTGTAGGCAAACGATTCACTTAAAGGTTTTCATAACCTTTCATAGTTTACATTGTTCATTTTGGTGTCTAATTTACAAGATTTGATCCTGATCTAGCAACGATATCCTAGGTTAACCCTTTTACATAAAACAAAGACTTCGTATATGATGACACGCAGCGCCTGAACATAAAGGAAGACGAGCCATAGTGAATAAATATGAGCAATTAAATGCAAAGCTTCCCAAAAACTCTATTCATCATCTCCTGCTGTAGGACATTGAAACCGAAGGTGTTGGAGACCTGCTCTTCCTATCCTCAGGTGCATACCAGAAAGCAGGATGGAGTAGTCAATGTGCGAGACCGCAGCACAATGGAAATGGCAAAACCCTAGATTGCTTGTCGCTTCTGGCACGTCAAGATGGCCTCTCGGTATTTATAGAGATATCAGGATACATGACCAAGATGCCTACATGATATCCATAACTTGGAACCAAACCAGAAAGGTCACGCATAACTGATTCGGATTTTCCACCACTCTTTGCAGCAGAACAAAACTAAAAAAAAAAGTCTATGCATGCAACTGAAGCCACATGGCCCTGGCCCGAGCTTTTTTTTTTTCATTTTCTTTCAGATCTAGAGCTAAAAACTAGCCAAACACTTTTCAATAGGTCTCCAACTCCAACAGGAGCTAGCTTCCACTAGAGTAGGAGTTTGGAGCTAGGAATTGGGGTTTGGAGCCCTACCTAATGGGGCCGCACTCTTACAATTGTCAACGGAGGTGGAATTGAAAAGGAAAAAATTAAGCATTAACATACACCAAATAGAGCATCCACCATTCTAATCAAAAGATAAATAAATAAGCAAGCATTAATATCTCCTTACACCTTCATGCTATTGATGGTGAAATGTTACTGATCCACAACCAACACCAATGAATGCCATTATCAAAATTTCATTCAAAAATTCAACATATTTAATTGAGAAAATTCCTTAAATGGCATCCAAAGTTACTGACTTCCTTTATTTGCCTGTCAAAATTGGCTATAACTTATTTGCCACTCGACGAATTTTTTCTAGTGTATGCCATAGTTGCTACCCCAGTCACATCCATTCATTATTACCGATTAAGATCATGCTAGTTTTCTTAGCGAATGCTGATGTTATACCCTTCATGTTCTATGATGATTCGAGCAAAAATGATGGCTCAAGTGGTTCAGTGCCCCTGTGGCAGCAGATTCCAATGGTGGCTCAAATGAGGCTTAAATTCCTATGGATAAACCATATGTGATCAAGCTGCTTAATTATAGGGGAAACCAGGCAGAGAGCACTTGCAACGGGATGGTATGGTTTTCACTGGTTGCCAACAAGATTAGCCATCGCTGGCTATGGATTTGGTAGCAATGTGGATAGAGAGATGATGTCCTTCAGTCAGAGGAGGAAGAAGACTTCTTTTTTTTGTAAGCTTTTCGGTAAAGAGGAATAAGACAATTGAATTAAATTTTTTTGTAACTTATCAATAAGATAGACACAAGCAATGCTTCTGCCCCCATTTGAAACAGATCTATCACTGGATTATTGTCGCATATTATCCACTTCATCTTAGAGATAAATTAAATATTTTAAAAATAATCTTAAGATATAGATTTGAATAAATGATATAAGCTATGTACCAGAAGAAAAATTTTCGGGAAAACATATTTTTGGATATGTGGAGCAAATAATCTAGTGAATTGGTGCTTTAAAAGTTTCCATGAATATAGCCAATCAGTGGCAGGGGCAATTTGGTCTTTTCTTGCACTGTTTTGCTATGAACTAACGAGTGGCTAACGAGACTGATCATGACAGGCAACGCAAGGAAGCAAAATGGTGAAAAAGGAGGGCAGAGATGAAAATAGAGAAAATACACGTTGAACACCCCTCTCCCTGCTGCCATGTTACCTTTGTGTTTCACTTTGGACCCCCTTTTCCCGCAAAGCTGACAGTAGTGGGAGTAAGAGGAGTATGTTTAAGAAAAGATCATGGTTTCACCGTGAGTTTGATCTTGAGAAAAATGGTATAAAAAAGGGTCCAAAGTGAAAAAAAAAATATAAGGAAAGTGGCCCATAGTGAAAGTTGTATGGTGTATAGGGGGTTCAACATGAATCTTTTGTTAAAAAAAAAGGAGAGGGGGGTTCGAATGGGAGTGCACGGTAACAACAGTATATAAAATGAGTCTATAAACTGAAGTGCGCTCTAATAATAGTATATAGAAAAAGGTTTCAAAATTTGGATGTATCAAATGTATAGAATGAGTCTATGTAAAAATACAATACATATGACTAATTGAATATATAACAAATAAAACAAAAAAAGTTTTCTTTCTACCAAAGAGTTGTTTGCAAGAAGTAAAATTTACTTTCAAATAAATTATAATTTAGCCCCTTGCAATCAAACAACACATATCTAGCAAAGAAGTATGGATATAGTATCTAGCAAAGAAGTATGGATATAGTACATGCGACCACATGTATGCAAAGTGATGTATGCATCTCCAATAAAAAAACAGCATTATTGGTAATAGCTTCTCATGCAAATAAATTAAATACTAACCCACATGATTGCTACCAACCAATAAACTTGAACAGAACAATGTAGCCAATATATCAAGCTTAAAGGTACAGAACTGAAATCATAAGCAAACATCAAGTAAAAAACATCCGATAACTAGGCAGCATCATCAATAGTTTGATGCAATGTGCACTTATTCTTAAAGGCAACATGAAAATGGTATGTAGCAAAGTATTAGGTTTATTTTCTGTTGCTCTCCCTCTCACCAGTTCACATATGCAGTTCCAACTGAAACTAAACAAAACCGTGAGGCAGAGTTGGCTTCAGCATCATAGGGTCATCTCCAATACTCGAGGGCTTCTGTCTTTTAGTATTGGTATTCTTTTTCTCTCCCATGGAAGATGTACTTCCACCTGATTGCAAAATATTGGGTAAAAACAAAACACTAGCTTCAGTGCTATGTTGAAAATAGAACATTTCAAATGCAATTACACAAGTAATACAGAGTGAGGTAAATTCTCCAAAACCATGTTACAAAACCAAATGACAACATGTATATAATGTTAATTAGTTTATGAAGTAAGCTTCTGAAATAGTATATTTCAAATCCATACCACTGCCTTCACCATAGGAACCCATTGCCTTCTGTAAAGAAAAATAAATATATATCAACATTAGAGTTTCTACAAAAAACTTTAGTACAATATGTATACAAGCACGTAAAGTGGCCAAGATTTTTTTTTTTGGAAATACCTAATTATACTATAATAGGTGGATGTTTGGACTTAGTACTTATATTTTTATCTAGCAACATGTAAATCAAACAATGTACTAAAACATGTCTTATATATTATTAGTATGAGCATAAAATAAGTGTTCGCCTACCTTCTTATGTAGTTTACGTCCGTTGAATATATCTGTCCCGTGCAGCAGGGTTCTTTCCATAAATAGTTCAACTTCAGGCTTGGAGCGGAATGTTTTTTTGTATTCCCGATGATTGTAGAACTACAATAAAAGGTATTATGAAATCGCAATTCATGTATTATAAGGGAGACTTCAAGGACCAATAAATTGGCGTAAAAAAGAAAAATAATGCATGAGATAATCATGTATGTGTTCAACATTATAAAGCTCTGAGAAGAGAAGCGGGGATAAATGGAAAAGGCAAAACCAAACAAACAAAAGCACATCGATCATGAAATTATGTGCAACATACTCTACTTGTTTACCATGGCTTCAGAGAAAATTTAGAACAAGCTTGTCTTTAAAACAAAACTTTTCTCATAATATGTGGATACCATATGAACTTCATTAGGATGATGCAGGTGTCCGAAGAATGAACTATCCGAAATTAGAAGCCAATGTGCTATACAGTTTATACTCCATCTAGGTTTTTTAATACTTAACTTTCCAATGACTAGGTTAAATCAGACCGATGCATATAATTTCATATTTTTCTATAATATGTATTTTTCATGTGAGAAGCACAAAACTTGTTTATTCCAATAGGGTAGTCATTTCGGTAGTCTTGGCACCTGCACCAGGACTAGTAGAGAAAAATATGCATGCTATCAAGGAGATATTTTTAAGCAATCCGAATAATTTAATGGATACAATTTTAGATGATATACTTGTAGACAACTCAACCCAGTAATGTTCATCGTCATCTAAAATTGTATCCATTATGCTACAGTACTTTTTTCAATATGTGATTTGGGATGAAATGGCATGTTGCAACTCTATCTGTAGCAGCATCACACTTTTCCATGGGCCTAGCTAGGTCAATTCCTCAGCCACTTGACCTAATGCAATGAAATCACAAGACCCACTGTAAGGCCATACATTAGTTTTGTTCCTTATATTGCAAGTCCAGAGGCAACCTTCCTAACACACAGTTGATCAAAGGCTAAGCAATCAGCAGATTAACCATAAAAAAAACAAAGAACCAGTGTTAAGCATGGTTTACATTCATAATAGAGGTTGCTTATGCTTGTATATTGCTGACAACACAAATATGGTTGAACTAAACCATGTTGAACTTGAATGAAAAAATATTGCACTTGAGGGTATTATATTTGAAGCTTTGAACTTGATACATTAGACAGCGTAAGTGGGTGTTCCTGTGGACAATGTCATCAATTGCAAAAGAATCTAGTTAAGCTTTGCAATTGGATCCGTGGTCTAGACTGCAAGCATTGACCATACTTGTTCATTGGGTGGATCAATTATCTGATTTTTGAACGCTATGTTTTATGCATCTTTATTGCCCCAATTTGAATTAGGGGCTATTTCTCACTTTAGTTTGGGGGGAGCCTTCATCTATGTGTTCTGGTTTCTCTGTGGATTTAGTTGATAAAGTATATGTCAAATGTTAACAAGAACATTTTCTTTGGAACATTCATAATGATGTCAAATGTTTGTTGCACGTGATGATTTTAGTAACATAGAAAATTTTGGAATTCGGGAACAACAAATAAAACCTTGCATCTGGAAAATGAAGTTTGCAATTCTAACCAACAAAAAAAAAACAGGATGAAAACTACCAGCACTCCAAATATAGTTTTGGTTGTGGTTTCCAAACATAGATGCCTTTTAAAAATTTTGGACCCAAGTTGCAACAACTGTCACATATTATATCAACACAAAATACCCAAAAAGCTTGAGAGATTATTCAAAGATTTTTAAAAACACTAAGAGGAGAACAACATGAATTGATGTATCACATCACCGTCTTTGATTTACAACACGAGCAAGAAATGCTTCACAAGATATTGTTTCACTAGGAAGTAAGTGTGTCTTAGTTGACTTTTCTCGGACGTTATATATAGGGTTAATCTTTGCCCTTTGATCTTCCTTGGGAGCTTTAAAAATTGATAAGCTTAGGAATTAAAGCACTTAACTTTGGGTTCCTCACACTGATACTAGTGCAATTAAAGAGGGAGTTAGAGGACAAGACTCGTAAATTCAGGATTGTAAGAGGAACTAACCTTCTTTGCTAGTGGAAACTTCGTAGTTCCACAATAGCATTGGTGTCAAATATATGGTAAACAAATACCAAAAGGGAGGAACCTCTTTGAGAAGTATAAGTAACTGTCTAGGGCTTTCTCTTTTTCTTTTTCTTTTTTTTTTGCCAATAGTAAACACACTAACCAAAAGAGCAAGCTTTATAGCTATTAGCTTAATTATAAAAAGCTCCTAAAACCTGATAGCACTTAGCTTCAAAATCGTAGCCCAACTTTTCCGAGGAACAATACAACATACACAAACCCCGCTTACACTTTTTTCCTCGATTCATGTACAAGGATTAACCGGGAGATATTATGGTTGGAGCGTGTGGGTTTTATGACGGCCCTAACCTAATTTTCATATGGGAATAATCCCACCAACACCACATGATGGGCCACCAAGTGCCAATATCACTGTGCGTCTATGCCAGATTATACATTTGAATGCCAAATACTAGCAGGGATGACAATTGGGTGTGGCAGGCATGGCAAAGCAGTAGCCATGCATACCATAGCCCTACAGGCAAGCCCATTTGCCAATGAGAAATCAATAGTTTCTAGACTAGTAAGAAATTGGAGAACAATTAATGTGTATGCTCTTATAGTAGCATGCGTTAGTGTGTAACCTCAACAAGGCTGACCATGTCAGCTTTTACATCCCCATATTCTAGATGTATAAGAAGAGATCCATTTTATGGAAAGAAGATCCATTTTATGGAAAGATCATTGCCACCACTAGCTACCATCCACTAGGCACTTCAAGTCCATGAAGACGATGGAGCCTCACAAGGCCATGTAGTTTTGGCTATCAGCACACAAGCCAGCTTGTGACACTACTTCTGGCATCTAGGTTGATGGTAGACCAAAGGTATGTTTTTCAACCAGATATCACCACTAGTTGGATCATCTAGGGTTCAGTAAGGATTTTGAGTTGTCTTGTCTAGTCTGCAGCATGTCAGTTCTCTGGTGATTTTTGTTGCAAACGATCTTTCCTTATCCTGATACATACTGTAGCAAACAGTTACATGGAATTCTAGTGGCAGTATTATCATGGGACTATTCTTTAGGGTGAAATAATATAGTTCATTGGCTCAGCCCAGAAATGTCAGCATTATCCGAGTTATTGTCGAGGGTCTTCAATCAACAGTCAAATGGCATATCAGACAACAAACCACTCCATGGTAGAGAAGGCTAGAGGTCATTGTGATTTTCTACCATAAATAGGAAAAGAGTGATTGCATACATCACAAATAGGGAGGTTCTGATGTGGTGTTAATGGGAAAGAGAATGTGTGCAGGTTCTATAGAAAAGTTGCTGTTAAAAATCATATTAATTTATTTTTTGAGTGTTTTTAGCTAATACTTAATTAGACGTGTGTTAATCCGTCGCTCTGTTTTGCGTGCGGAGGAGGGTTCCCAACCCCTCCAAAAGAACACAGCCTAAATAAAGCAAATATCTATGAATAATTTCTACGACCTTATATAATTCTTTGATCTAATTCTACAACTAGTTAGTCGATACTAAAGCGTATAATACATTGGGAAGTTTCCATTTGAAAAATGGAGATGTATAGTTTACACTGGCCCACTTTTCAATGGGAATAAAAAGTGAAACTGTATTAAAAAATGACTTTTGCTGCATAAATAGGTATTAGTTAATGACCAATCCTCCACCCCTCGTATGCTTATCTATCCGCAGCTAGTAGTTTCTATACATAGATGCCCATATTAGATACAGTCAAACATAGCACACAGATGTTATTATCAAAACATCCTAATATATATTTCCCATAGACATGGATATCAGTACAGATGACTTCTCCCACATATATTGCTATATGTACCTGGTTAACATGCTACTTGATTCATACAAAACAAATCAAGAACCTTTTAATGGTTTGTCAATAATATTATACCCAAAGTGTTGGTCCTACTTCTCAGCCTAGACTGGATTAGTCATTCCACTATATCACTTGGTGTATTTCTATTAACTTGCTCTATATTGACATGACAATAAATGCATATATATTCAAAAAGGTTGTCTTTGTCATGTAAGTATTATAATCGCATTGTACTTATTCAAATACCAACAAAGCTTTCAAAATTTGAATAATCATGTATCAATTATATTGTTCAATTTTATAGTAAATGCAAGCATCTTACAAGTGTGCAACTACTAAATAGATGACAAAAAATCTATTAATAGTAGAAATGATTGCACTGCAATGAGGTGCAAATTTCTCCAGAAAAATTTTCACATGGTACTACAAGAATAGATTTAGTTTCTTCTGAACTTGCTTTGTTAGATATTACAAATGTGATGATTCAGCAAGGTTAGATCAAATATACATCATAATCATCAATGGATTCAGGAGAGAAGGACGTTCTGTACAAGTCAATATAAAAAATAAAATAAAATATAAGATTTATTAATTGTTAGTATGCCATATATTTTGAAAGAAAATTAAGAAGCACAAACACAATTGATTGAACCAAATCTACCGCAGATCTTGAGATATCCAAACAGTTATTTTTCAAGAGCATATAAACATTCTCTCTAGACATATCAAAAGCAGAAAGAAAGTGAACCATACATAGCGAATTTCATAAAGAAAAGTAAGATTGACTCTCTTACCCAATCTTTGTGTCCATTAGCCCTAATAGAAATCGAAACCTTCCAGTCTCCATCTTTGTAGAGCTTGTGTACCTTCAACCAATGAGGAACAAAAACCTCTTCTTTACCCGAAATCACTTTCCGATTTAAAACCTGCACTTGACTGAATGGAATGGCACTCAAAGGCACAACATTTAGTGGTTGATTGCCAAGCGGAAGGGTCATAGCAGATGTATTTTCTTCATCCTCTGAATCTGCATCAATCCCTACGAAAGGATTGTCTGTCAGAGTCGCATCAGAGTCATATTCAGAATCACTCATCGGGGCTATGCTCTTTGGGGCCTCACTACTCATAGATCTATTGTCCCAAAGGAATAGAAGAATGAAAGGGATATAGCAAGAGTCTATCTCCTAGCCTTGAATATATCTTCTGATCGAGGAATTTCATTATGAGATAAATAGTGTGAACCTATAAGGCTCCAAAATAGTACGTGTCCTATGTGAACGCGTCTCATTTACATCAAACCTTTACAGCTCACCTCACCAGCTGGTGGCGTATTGTAATAATGACATTTTTTACCTTTAATTGATATACATGTATTCCTCCATAAGTGGATACACAATTAATTTAATGTGACAGATATTTTATTCATTTTATGGACATAGCATTTAATTTGAGAAATATTTCTTCCTTATCAGGATGGCCTATTTAATACGTTAGAAATTTTGTTTCTCATATCGATTGGACATACCATTTAATGCAATATACATTTCTTCCTTATATGGATTGGATATAAAATTTAATGCGATATATATGTTCTTCCTTAAATGGATATACCTTTATGCAATACACGACCTCTTTCCAATAAGGTTCCGTCGTTTGATGCAATACACGTCTTAAAAATAGATGGCTCACCATTGTATTTCTTTCATCCATAATTTCTCTATAGATGTATATACCAATTAATACATTTAAAGTCTTGCTTACATAATGTGCAATATTGTGCACTAAACTTCTTCTCATAAATAATTATATTTAGACAAAATGAATAAACAATATATCCCCATTTATTATTTTATATTTATGGCATGTACAAAACTTCCCGCTATACAACTTTACTACACAATACATAGCTGGCCACTAAGCCTAACGTATCCTAGGTACACAGCCATCTGTCCCAGCAACTAGAGCAAAACTTTGCTTAACACATGACAAGCATGCATACATGTCTGGTCCCCACACAATTAGAATATTGGAATACATGTGAATTGTCTGTACACTACCTTTATTTCTTTATATCTTTCTCCTTTTTTTTGTGAACGATCTTCCGTTTCTTATTTTGAGTCTACATGGAGGAAGGATAGTGTGAATAATCTAGAGTAGTAACTTGCCTCTAATGCTTGATTAGCTGTGTAGCAGATGTGTGGTACCTAGTGAGCTGTATGATTCTTCCATGAATGTACACCGGAGGAAGTAGCAAAACTGTTAACTGAAACAACTTTCTTTTCTTGTCTTTTTCGAGAGAAACAACTGGCTTTTCTAAGATGCAACAAATAAATGATTAACCCATCAAACCATGGGAAGATATAATAGGATTCCACTGTCATGGTGCAGATATTATTGCAATTTGCACGAGTTACTTTAAAACAACTATTTTGAGGGCTAAGAGGGCGCATATAAATGGTTAACCCATCAAATAGTGTTATGCTGGTACAGTAGTTTCCAGCGATGAGCGGGGGTGAACGAGGCAGAGATCATGATGGCGGCAGCCAGACTTGAGGTGGCTGGGCCAACGACAAAGGAAAGCAGGGCAGGGCAGGGCAGCGGCCAGGAGTTCTCTCTGGAGAGGTGATAGTGATAGTGAGAAATTTTGAAGGTGGTACCGGAGGGCAGACTAGGATTTCACCCTTCTTGTTTCAAGTGGAAAAGATCAAGGTGATGGAAGTTGGGGCAGACTAGGGGAGGTGGTATAAGAGATAATGATGGGATAATGTCCCTGTAATAGCGCCGGACTTGTCCGCTAGGGTTTGGATAGAGGATTTGCACTTATGGGTAAAATTAAAGAAGAAATAAAAGAAAGGCAAAGAACGACGGACGGCTTTTAAAACAAAACAAAACGATAAACTTGTCATGAGTTTTTGAAGTTGTTTTCAAACTTAGTCATTTATAGGGCTATTACATAAACTAGTGCACATTAAAGCAAGCAACCAAAACCAAGCCAAGCCCCTAATTATGTTGTGATATTTCACATGAAAGGTGGCCTATCAAGACTTTTCAAGGATGCAGTGGTAGCTCTCCTCCTCTCCTCTCCTCTTCTCTCCTCTCCTTCACAGGGATGTGCTCTGCTTGGCAAACCACAGTCAACCCATTAATTTGTAGCTAGAAAAAATGGACAAAGAGTAAACAAGAAATGATACAAATAAAATAAAATCTGCAGGACACATAGCACTATATAGGATGTAAGAATAGGAGGCATATGGAAAAGGCAAAGTCTAGTTTGATTGCCAAGATGGTGCGAATGTTGACTATCATGCGGTGTAAACCGTCAATAACAGATAAGGTTATTCTCAAGCTTACAGTCCATAATGATCCAATAATGATGAAGTGTGCTATACAAGTTGCATTCATCGTTGTTGCAATATAAGAGGTACGTGCTATTATTAACACGAGAATTAAAAAGGTAGTAACAGTTCAACCTATACTAGGTGATATCCCGCGCTTTGTTGCGGGATTCACGGATGAGTATATGTTAAATATTATCAAAATAATGAAAGTTGAAATGTTAAGAAAATAATGTGAGGAAGATGATTTGACACATACTTGTTAATCTCTATAATATAATATTGTAAATGATATGTCATACTTGCATGGGATTTAAAATAGGCTAGAATAGTAATTGCTAGTGAGTGAAGATGTGGCATGCTTCCATGGGATTTTAAATGGGCTAGAATAGTAATGGCTAGTGGGTGATGATGTGGCATGCTTGCATGTTGAGTTTTAGCTTCTAATAATTGTTAGTGGGTACCAACTATATAGAAAGTATAGATTCAGTAGACAAAATATATTAAATGTCCGATGGTTGAATAAACATAGGTTGCTTAACTTTGGGATAATAACTGCACTAATTAACTTGCGGAATATTCCGTATTCAGATGCAGAAATTAAAAATAATGTGTGCTGCTAGTTACATGTGGTTCTACACAAGTACATAAGAAACTTCAGTTTTGAATAGGGCAAAAAAAATTGAAAACCCCATATAGTTAGAACCTTTAATGTTACGGTCCTTTAAGAAATACCAGGTGGTATGGCAGTCTCCAATCTTCTAGTATTAACATGATACCGCCTAAATTTTCCTGGTGTTGAGGTACTAGAAAACAAATATCAACACTAGTGAGCTTACTACCTCATATAACTTTTCAAGGAGAGTAATAAAACTTACTTCTTTTAATCTAGTCATGATATCCTATAAACCTATACGATTCATTCCCACTTAGTGTTGTTAATATCAATTTTGGGCATTGAGGTGAAGCCATGTCACCCAAGACAAGGAGATCTATTGAATCATATCCCAACAACCTGATGCAGTTCCTCCGTATTCTCTGGTGAGCCCAGCCCAGTTCGGAAGGCCAAACTCATAACCTAGCCCATACCTCATTCACAAAATCAGGAAACCAGCGCTCCTCGATGGATGCCATGATGAAACCTTTAAATACCAATGTTTGTGCCCATCGTGTGTGAGAACTTATAACTGGTCTCCATCATGCTCGGTGATTACTCTGTATCAGATTGGTGGCTTCCATCTGCACACAAGAAAAAAAAAAGATCATGTCCAACTCTTCTGATGGCTTTGTTTTGATGCATCTTCAATCATTAGTAGGCATCGATTGGTCTCCCCCTTTTGCTAATTGTTGCAGTACACTAGCCTCATTTTCTTTTGATAAAAAAAAGATAGCTGGATTGGTTGATCTTCATCTTGGTTAGGGATTATCAGGCACAAACAGCAATAGCTAATTCTTCATCTGGCGACGCGCGCATGCCGGCCAATTAATTTGTTTTTCTTTTTCTGATATGCAACCTTCTGTTCTCATCAATCTTTGACATGGATCAAGTACATTCTTCTCTTCTCTCATCCTCCCATGTTCAATTCATTGGCTCACCAAATTGAAACAGGTGGCCTTTGGATGAGTTCATTGGTTGTACTCATTTTTCCCTTTACCAGAAAATAGCAATGCTCCAGATGTTTCCCTTTAGTATGCCAGGCCATTGGTGAGATCATACTTATTTACTGATGAATTTTGTGCTACACACTCTTACCTAATTTGGAAATTTTTGGTTGGTAATTCTAAATTAATTCATATACCAGCTATTTGATGATTCAGAAGAGAACTCTGTTTTCTTCAGTCAGTGATTTTTGGAAATCTCATGCTGTACTCGTTAAATTGGCTTATTTCTCACTATAATTTATTTATTTCAAGCAAATAATGTAAGGACATCTCAATCAAATTATCATATATATTGAGCTAAAAATAATAATGCAACTTATCCTCACTTAATTTGTACCAGAGTGCTATTGGGAAAATTAATCTCTCGACATGGAAATCGAGAGGAAATCTTGCTCGGCCGTTTTCCACCCATTGCCTATGGGATTAACGTGTTTTAATTCATAGCTATTTTCATAATTATGTGATTACGCGCATTGATCGGTAGCAGCAAAACCTTCCAGATTTTGGATCGCCCCCGGTGCCATATTAATAGGGGAGACCGGTGTCGTGGAATGATGATGATCTCTCCACGATCATCTTCTCCCAGAAAACCCTAAAACCCTATCTGATCAGTTAAGCGCTAGAGGAGAACGTGCAGCTGTCCCAGGGCAGTGTATGTGCCGACTGGAAGGCCATCGCTACCACAATGCTAATAACCGGCAAATCCTTCAGGACCAAGCCGGCAACCTCACCTTCATGACTACTTTGCCTACACCGAATACCGAAGCGGTTCAAGGCACTACAACCTCTACTTCCACTTCAGTCATCGACATCGACAAGGCTAATACGGCGTCCTTGGCTGCAATCAATGGTAAGTGACCCTAAGATTTCCACATTTTAGTGATTATGTTAGGATAAGCGCTTATGAATTAGCAGATCACATAATCTACAAGTGCAATGAACAAGATGAATGTTAAACCTTTTCGGTCTCTTATCACATATTACTCGATTTTCATTATCTCTCATGTGGTGAGTTTTTACTTATTTCTAAAATTTGTAGTCAAGAGAATTCATTTTTTTAGTCCATCTATTAAGATTAAACTCTGTTGGGAAATACTTGGATCTATCCGACCAATGAAGTATGTTAAATGTGATGGATCAAATATTCTCAATACAGTTTCACCTTCTTTAGTACTATGTCTACATGGTACAATTCTCAGTATGCACTGGCTTTATCCA